GGCGTCAGATCGCCCTCCTCCTGCGTCTCGGTCCCCATGGCGCTGTGGCGCGGCTCCGCGTACGCAGGCTTCCTGGCACTGGCCGTGGGCTGCGTCTTCCTGCTGGAGCCGGAGTTGCCGGGCTCGGCGCTGCGCTCGCTCTGGAGCTCGCTGGGGTTTGGGCCCGCGCCCGCGTCCCCTGGACCCGTCTCCCCCGAGGGCCGGTTGGCGGCTGCCTGGGACGCGCTGATCGTGCGGCCAGTCAGGCGCTGGCGCCGCGTGGCCGTGGGGTGAGTGTCTCGGGCTTGGGTCTCTGGGCCATGCCGGGAAGTGCGGGAGCTCCAGGCCTCCAGGGTCGGGCGGCTTGGGAGCTGGGAGAAAGAGCCTGTGCGGACACAGGGCTACCCAGAGGTCCCCAGGAGGCACTGATGTCCGCGCTGCCCCCTGGCAAGTAGTGCTGGACATCTGGATGGAACCCGCTGTCACCTCGGGGGGCACTCACCAGGCTGTTCTTTCCACTCGGCTGCCCACTGCGCCCTTCTCTCATCCCAATAGGACCAGCCTTAATAGCGTCCTGCAAACCTAGCTGAGCTGGCACCTTCCTGTTTGGGCTGCTTCGTGCTTCCGCTTCCAGCCCCTCTTACCTCTCTAGCGACCGTCTTTTGCAGTCAGAGATGCTGATCTTCCCATTTTGACGACACTCTTCCCCTTCTTACTTCTGAACCTCTTGAGGGTGAGTGGCCTCTGCCTTTAGCCACAGACTTTATACTATTTCTTTAAGCCTTGTTTTCCCTTCCTTAACGCCGCACCGGCTGGAGACCACCACTCCACTGCAACCCCTGTTTGATTTTTAAATCCAGCTGCCTCCTTCAAGTCTTCATTATCAGCGCTGCAGCCGTCCGTCCACGCTTTGAACACGCTCTTATCCTTGAAATGCTTCTTTCCCTGACTGCAGTGACATTGCACATTTAAGCCTCCTCCAAATCGCAGTGCCTCCTTTCTTTGTACTTTTCCCCAGAAATGTAATTATTTCCTTTACACTAACTTCAGTCCCTGTCTCAGTTCGACTTGACTTTCTTGCTGAAGGTACTGAACAAAAACAGGCCTTCTACCAAGCGCCTTCTTACTTTCTGTGAGTGTTGGAGCTGGGAGGGGTAAGGTGGAGCAAGCCTGTCTTGAGGAGTAAATGAGATGTTTTGTGTAATCAATCTAGCAGAGTGTCTGCTTTAAAAAGCATTCCAGTGTGAACTGTTATTTTTCATATCAGCACATTTTGGTTCTCCAGTGGGATCTCCTTTTGCCTGTTGTTTCAAGTCCAGTCCCTTCTCACCTACCTCCTTATCAGCTTTTTAATTGTCTTCCCTAGCTTTATACATGCTCATTCGACAAATACTCATCAACTTCATGGTTAGTGTCAGTTCTGTGCTAGGTTCTTTGGATATGATGGGTAAAGCAAGGTCCCTGCTTCACTTGTTGAAAACAGATATGGTTGTATTCATCTGCTTGAGCTGGTAGAACAGAATGCCACAGACTAGGTGACTTAAACAACAGAAATTTATTTTCTCACAGTTCTGGAGACTGGAAGTCCAAGGTCAAAGTGCCAGCAGAGTTGGTTTCTGGTGAGGCCTGTCTTCCTAGCATGCAGGCACCCGGCTTCTCACCATCACTTGTATAAGCAGGCTCTTGGTGTCTCTTCTTCTTCTTATATGGACATTAGTCCTATTAAATTGTGATCTTAATTACTTCCTGTGTCTAAATGTAGTCGCATTGGTGGTTAGGATTTCAATATGAATTTGGGACGGGGAGACACAATTCTGTCCATAACAATTATGGTTAGGAGAGGGAACGTCCCAAAAGGACCAGGCAGAAGCCTTAGTACCTTTTATGACCTAACCTTAACTTAGAAGCACTAGGAACCCTTCTTCCAGAGGCATTGGTCCACCTGGTTTTAACAGTAGGAGACATAGAACAAACCTTGATGGAAGGAACATCAGCATCACACTGTGAAAAGAACACATGGGACAGGCTCGGTGGCTCAGCCTGAAATCCAAGCACTTTGGGAGACCGAGGCGAGTGGATTGCCTGAGCTCACGGGTTTGAGACCAGCCTGAGCAACTTGGGAGACCTCGTCTTTACAATAAATCAAAAATTAGCTGGGTGTAGTGGTGAACTCCTATAGTTTCAGCTACTTGAAAGGCTGAAGCGGAAGGATCGCTAGAGCCCAGCACATCGATGCTGGGGTGGCTGTGAGTGTGCCATTGCACTCCAGCCTGGGCAATGGAGTGATACGCCAACTCAGAAAAAAGAAAAGAAAAGAACACATGGACAGAGACATTTTACTGCAACCATATTGGAAAATATATTTGACTATGGTGACTTTCATGGGATAAGCCCTAGAAAAGAAATATGATTTCTCCAAGCAAAGATGGGAACAAGTCCACCTAGTCAAGCGAACCAAATGTTATAATTACATGATTGGTAGAGAGATGCGAGGAAATGGTGGTGAGTCAGAGGGTTGGGCCAGATTGTGAAGGGCCTTGAACGTCAGGGCTAGTGATGGGGAAGCCGCAAAGATTTTTTTTTTTTTTTTTGAGTTGGAGTCTCACTCTGTCACCCAGACTGGAGTGC